TGTGGTCTCTTGGGCGGAGTGTCTCTTGGAAGAGTGTATGGCCCAGAAGGAAGGCTGGATGAACCAGTAGCGCACAAATCGACATTCAGTCAGTCAAGAGGAGAGTACGCGCGGGCAAGGACAGCTGCCACAGGTATTGATACGGGACCTAACGCGGGCACTAGGACAAGTAAGGTGGAGACCACTTATGCTCGCAGACATCTTTGACTAATCACGATATGATTAATAAAATAAGTTGGGTATAATTGAAAATTAGAAATTATTCTCCCTCTCTTAACTCAAAAACTATCTCAGTGTTTGGAGCCGTTCTGCTCGAAAAGTTCAATGAGAGCTCCAAGCCTCATATTTGAGTTTACCCATCGATGCATTGTTAGTTCATTAATCAAATTAAAACTTATATAATTGGTCTGAGTGTAGTACAAAACGTACTAAAAATGCATCTTTAGAAAGCTGTAAAGGCGTGGTTGGAAGACCCTTTATGGTAACGGAAACATGGGAAGGACAAGTATTTTTGTCATACTCAATTTATTTGAGGTTCATGCATTGCCATGACCTTTCTAAGATTTAATAAAGGGCTACTTTTGAAGAAAAAAATTGTATCCTTCTCGATACGTTTCCAGTATACACCGCATAATTGAAGAAAAATTTGTAGCCTTCAAACTGTACGTTGTTGTTAGAGTTTCAGTACACTTAAATGTAACTCTTTATTACAGCACACGGAAGACAATCATTTTCTAGTGCTTTATTTACAAATACGTTTGGTAAAGCGTGTCTTCTTGAGATAAAGCATCACTCAATCTGGTTGATCTTTTTTGAAGGGAATAATTTCTCCACATACTTAAATACAATTGCACACCGATAATAGAATGCAACGTAACACAATCTACGACTAATTTGTCATAAACTTCGAATATAATTGGGCGCCACTAAAGAAACAAACAAATTAATCTGGTCTTGACATTGCAGGAAAGTTCAGCAGAACTTTCGAAAGAGTTGTTCTGTCTCAAGTGCGAGGTTCTCTGAATAAGGGGGGAGATTGAACGGGGTTGTTATTAAAGGGATGCTGAATCGAAACTTGTAGTTGACAAAACAAGGCTGGAGAGATAGGCCGGACGCTGCAAAATCAATAAAAAAAATCACTCATGCAGGAAATTTCAAACGGTTGATCGTATTTTTGTAAAACTGCGCGACTGAACACGGCCGAAGGGGCGACGTGACATGTCACGTCACGATTCTCACTTTCTCTCCTCTTCGCTTCGTCCCCTCGAACAGTTTAACCGAAGCGAGGAGGAGAGGAGCAAGACCGCTTCCCCTCATTCTCAAGTGGTGCAGGACGATCGGGACCTAATAGACCTTGCTTGATCGGGCCTCTTCTTTAGAAAACAAACAAATACGACCATCTGTTTGAGATATCGCTATATGAGTGATATTCGGAGTTCGCAGCGTGCCGTTCAACGCTTCTGCGGCCTTCTCCGAAACTCAAATTTCAGTTCAGTATTCCTTTAATGAGTTTTTCTTGGGGTTCCAGTCACTCTTCGTTATAGTTTAGTAAAGTCGCGGGGGCAGTAATAACGTGAATCTGTTGGAACCTGTGTAAAAAAAATGCATATTCGCAAACCAATGAGTGTGTGCTTTTCTATAATATCCTCTGAAACGCCTGTGCGTCTACTTACCCGCAAAACACTCGAAGTGCCAATTTCTGCGATTTACGAAATCAGCTCAGTGAATAATGAGGCCGAACATCTTTTTAGACCTCAAAATTGTCTGCGCTGTGGCATTACACCATGCAAGCATGACGTTTTGCATTGCGTAATTCCACAGCGCAGACTTCACTTTTAGGTCTAAAGGGATGTTCCGCCTCATTATTCGCTGAGCTGATTTCGTAGATCGCAGCGATTAACTCTTTGAGGGTTTTGCGGGTAAGTAGATGCGCAGGCATTTCTTAGAATGTACAGGCACAAAAATTTCAGTTGAAATAATATTCGTGTACCAAATTCGGGATTGACATTTAATTGTTTATTTTATAAAGATCATCAATCTACCGATTATAAAATGAACATTATTTCATTTTACACGACTGATCATTATTTCACGGCACTAGTTTGGCGTTAAAGATTATGAGATGTGTATATCAGGTCAGTCGAAAAAAATATCAGATCTATTAGGAAGCATTTCGAAACAAGGATAGTAGGAGTAAAGTTTCAAGAAAATACTATCATAGTATGTATACACACTTTTCAAGATAATTGGATATTTTTTTATATTTATTTTTGATGGCGATAGCTCTTTAATTGATCCAAATATGATCGAGTAACCAATGGAATAAAATAAGGCACCCTGGTAACTTAACTGCATTGCAATTTAATACAAACCAGAAGTGTTAAATATATGCTCAAAAGTACTTAAAAAGCTAGAAATTTCGCAAGACAAAAGATTCTTAAAATCGTACAAAAAACAAAAGGAAAGTACGTATTGTTAGTGTCGCGGAGCGTCCGATTATGTTGGTGTGTCTTTAACGTTTGTTCACCAAATATATTTTCAAGAATAGTTCATCTTCCACTCTTTTAACATTCCACATTTGCTATCAAAAATTTTTTTTTCCGTTTATTCACGGTGGAGCAAATCAGCAATACATGCTGGTTAACCTCATTGTTTAATACGCGACAACTTACCTTATAAGTCAAGGGCTGGTTGCTTTCTTGAAATAGCATGCAACCTCTTATGCATAAGAAACACTGGGATGCTACGTACCGTTTTTTATTGTCGCCCCCCCCCCTCCTCTTCCCTTAAAACGGTCGTTTTATCGTAAATATGTTAGTATAGAAGTCGCACTTACATTATAATAGTAATAATACTAAGTATAATAATAATATTAATAATAATAATGAGTAAATTTCTTTCTATTGGAAGTGGATGGAAATATATATATATATATATATGCTCGGCGCAGCAAAACTCCGTAGATAAGCCCGCATATGTATATTGTGATTGGGGTATATGCACAGCCGGGAGCCAGTTTCAGTATGCTCGCCAATGCACTGAAAGGTTAATATGACCCCCGCGTCTACTCAGTGCACTTTAGCCTGCGTGATTTATAAAAAAAGACCGCATACAAGTCGCGTTTTCTTACACTATGCACAGACTGAATTTTTATTTAAAAAAGCGCACCGGGAAATAGGGTAGTTGTCATTATTTCCCCTTTCCGGAGTGCCGCTAGAAAGGGCCTAACTACCGATTCGCTTTATCCGGAATAGACACCGAGAAACGATTTCCGACCTTGACTAGAAATGCGCTACAAGATGCGGAAGTCTCAATACGAAAGCGGATTACAAAGGAGTAAGTGGGTTGAATCTACAGTTCCTCTATACTTGCTTCGTGACCCTCTTTGACACATCGTTTCTCACAACCCGCAAACTGGAACAACTGGCGACCAAGCTAGCGTGCGTAGCATCGCGATCGGCTCCCAGGTGAATGAAACAAACTGGTCAGGCGAATTCAAAAGGTTTCGCGTGGATTCTTAAACAAGTCAGCAGGGGGTACTGGAGATCAGAGGTCAGATTCCTAGTACCCCTGGCACTTTGTTACAGGACTCGTGAAAACAAGTTAACGGTTATGCCGGTCGCATTCTCAGAAATCATCTTCAATCTTAGCGTGCTTGAATGAGTATTTTCTAATGCAGCTGTCTCAAATTTACGCGCTGTTATGTTCAAAAAAGGAACTTAAATGCTTCTTTGTTCTACTGATCAGATCCGGATTTACAGAATGTGCGGCGCGTTCTAAACAACGCTGGGTGTTTGTTTGTTATTTGTTTCTTTTTCAGCTCGCAAGGTCCTTTAAGTTCCGCTAATATAAGCCGAATTTAGCGAGACAATTTAGGTTTCCGCGGTATTTAGTGCAATTTAGCAATACAAATCAGGTTCCCCACTGAATTCAGAGGATAAGGCTTCCTGTCAAACGTAGTGGGACGGGCGTCCACTACATTTTGCGTGTTACGATTTTGCGTTACACTTTTTTGTGACGTTCTGTTTATGAAACTCGAAAGCTTAACACAAACTGTTTGACACAAAAAATAGCTCAATAAAGTTAAAATTGCAGTGAGTAATTAGCTCACTACGATTTTCACTTTATTAACTATATTTTTGTCAATATTTTTGTGTTATGACTTGCCTAAGAATAGTAATTATCTAATCTTAGGCAAGTGATGTCGATCATTTCTTGAGCTTAAGTGCTGGGGGTATGCGGCAGTATAATGCTAAAATAATTCTCAACTTATATCTGTACACCCTAGTAGCACCGACTGATTGTAATTCTTTCGACCAGTTGTGCAAGTCCCTTAAATGCAGCTGCATTGACTCGATCAAATATTTACGATACCGTTACTTAGTTTGTATGCAGCGAGGTAATCCAAGTGACGTATATTCAGAAAGCATTTTACCTACACGAATTAATATTATTCTAGGTATGAGATTACTTGCCTCCCCTACAAACTAATCTTCAAGAGTTAGCCAAAGCGTAAACATCTTTCAGACCACCCGCCTCAGAATTGCCAGCCGTCGGCCTCTAACTTTCAAACTTGCAAACAAATATAATATACAGTTGTTTTTGTAGAACAGGTACGAGAAGCTCAGTGCGTCACGCTTACATCCGCTCTATAAAAAAGTCGACGGAGGATCGAGTCACCAATTCTAGAATCATTACATTTTTGTTTTTATCATGCCAGCCTTTTCGAACCGTAATGAAGTCTGCACAAATATTTTGTTTATATATTAAATTTTTCTAGTACCAACATTATAATGGACCTATCAGCAAACACTGTTGATAGCCCAACATCTGATGTATATTACACAAGCATTCGATGATTTGCATAGTACATTTTCGAATATCGCGTGTTCGCAGGTGTGAGTGTGATTGTGTAATTCGCTCCCGCTGGGGCCTTAGAGTGGCCTGTAGAAATGTGAACTAGATTTTTAAACAAACCGAGCAAGGTACCGACGTCTCACCTCCTGGACTTGGTCTTCCGGAAGGGCTCCGGCCGCGACAGACGCCAAGACCCCGAGGCCCAGGATGAAGAGCCCGGCGGCGAAACCCGTCGGTCGTGGCATGAGCTCGCGCCGGCGCTTCGTCTGCGGACGAGTACCCTGGGCGGCTGACTCGCGCAGCCAGGCATAGGTAGGAAGGAGCACAGATGCGCTTGGAAATGACGCGGACGACGAGGAGGGCTCGTGGGGAAGGGCTCTCACAGATGCGTCCCGACTCCCCGCCGCCGTCCCTGCACGGTCTACGCACGCGCACTACGAATCAAAGCCCAGGATTACAGCGTCGGGCCCGCAGCAGACCCCGAGGGTCAGTAGACTCGACAAAAAGACACGCACACTGTCCGACCCCTCAGGGTGCTAACGCCGTGAGATATTGGCTGCATTCGAAGAATGCCACTGTGTCTTGAGCCACCAGATCAAATCTATTTCTTCCGACGACGAAATGCAAAGCCAATAAAATATCGTGCGATTGTCGCGTGATCCTTTGGAAGAGGCCCGCAGCGACGCGTGAGGAGCGTAGTCACGTGATTATATTGGCAACGTTGTATTGGCTGGCATGCCTCGCATAAGATCCCGACGCGGTTGATCGTAAGGCAGAATGAAGGATAGCAATTTGGAGACGGTAATTCGACATAGGGAAAGTACTCGGAAGACGGTGGTTTTCGGCGCCATGTATCGACGATTCCGGCATGATGGCTGCGTCGCCGGATGAAAAGAGGGGGAGGCGTGGCGGACCTTGGGGTAGTTTGTCGCTTGTTCCGGAATGCTGGGGCACAAGGGGGGCTCTCCTCAGCCCTGAGACGGACTCATCTTGGTATAAAATACCGATGGAATTCACGAACCGAGGTAAATATCAGTGGGGCAAATTCGCCAGGCTGGGGGTAAGAGAATACGTTTACGACATTACGCTTTTTGTTTTGAATCATCCAGTGGGAATAAAAATTACTTAAACCCAAAATGCATCTTTCTGCAGCAACCGAATGCTGATCATAAAAAAAATTAAATCCGTAGTTTATGTAGCTAGTTTTAAATAAAAGCCTCGTGGAGTGATTAACTCTACGCTACTCAGAATCAAACGTATTTAGTGGCTGCTCTTTTCAATAACTCATTTTGCTGAAACACGCAAAATGTTAGGAATGAAATTATGTTATTTCAATGACACAATTGTTTGCCTAATATTAGAGTATGTTCATTAAATGATTAAGCCATCAGGTTTCCTTGTTTTCTTTATAGAGTATATGGAGTAACTAAAAGAAAAGATGCTGGACTTTATATGTGAAACCGTTTCATTGTGACGGCAAGGTGCTACGCTATTCCCTCAAAATGAGTTCACCGATAGACCAGTTGCGTTAATTGTACGGCGTACGCAAATCACACGGAAATGACGCACAGTTTAAAGCGTGGGCTGTGGAAATTAGCCATTACTCGTGGCTGTCATGGCAGCACTACTGTGAACCACGAACGAGCTCTTGCTGAAGGAGCACAGAGGCGATTGGAAGTGACGCGAACATCGAGGAGGGGTGGTGGGGAAGGGCTGTCACAGATCCGTCCCGACTTCACTCTAAGCTTTACTATATTTCACACTTAAGAGTTTTTTTTTTTATCTTTTCGATACCTTTCACGTTGAATAAGATTGAAGACACAACACAGATACGCAAATGAATAAACCGCAACCATCAAAGAAATATGTGAACAAATATGTGCTGATGCCTAGATTCGAACCAAGGCCAAATAATCATCGTTCAAATGCGTAATCGCAACTAACTAGGAAGTGCAGGTTTGGTTCTCCAGACAGAGCCATACTATTAGAATAGAGTAGGTAAAGGTGTGTGGCATGCGCTGAAATATACATGGATGACGAGAAATGAGCACTGCTGTCTCATTATTTTTTTTGTATTTTGTCCTTTTTACGTCGCTTTGTTGATTGTTTTTGTTTTTAATATAACGAACATAGCCACTAACCAAATTATGAAGTGGTTGGAAATAGTCATTACCGTGAGAAGGCATTTGTTGGATTTCGCCTCTTGTCAAGTGACCAAAGTTAAAATCCCGGCCCCACGTCTTCAGATAGGCTATTTTTCATAGACGAATGACTACTTCCACAAACAAGCCATAACATGCTACCGAAACAACGCATCCTTTGGTATTGTGTGCTACCGAAGAAGACGCTACGTAATATAGCATTATCCCCAATATCCAAGCAAACATAAACCAGAAAGGACGAAACTATCGCAGTAATTTTTTCACAAATGTTTTGTGTACTGTTTACCTGCACCTGACACCTATGAGCCGCGTTGTGACTTAATTATTAGCAATATACAAAATGAAATAAGTGGCGTAAAAACTACGCGAGCAAATTGTGGTTAGAATTTTCTAACTAAACCAAGAGTGCAAATGAGGAGCGGCTGTGTCGATGCAATTTATAAAGCAATTAAATACAACCAAATATACTTTCTCCAAGATATAAACTGAACACCATTCATACTTACACCAATTAACAACAAAAAAAAAACTTGATGTCGGGATACCTCGTTAAGAATCATTTTATGCCATTGCCCCCAAAAGCGCCGTTTAATGCCCCTCAAGGACGCGACTTCTCGATCAAGCTGTTTTCTTTTTTATAATAATTAAAACTAAAAATGCTGTCTCGCTCTGGCATATTATTCTAAGGAATCCAACACCTGCGCACTCTGTGAGAACATGGAAGATCTAGCCGAAAGAAGCAGCCTTAGGGTACCAGGGCTGCCGATTCACAAGGTTAGCGGACACGGTGATGCAACGAGTCTGTCTCGCTGACGGCTATAAATTGTATTTTGTGGTGCGCGAGGAAGCAAGGACCGTGTCTGACCGTCTACGCGGAGAGCAAGACGTTTGCTTCTTGCGCAGGAGTTACGGTGACGTCAGGACGACGCCGAGCTCTGATTGGCTTTGATTGAAAGGATAGTGGGTAGACGTCGATGCTAGATGCCTCAAGTTCTACCCACTATTTTTTCAATTAACCAATAAGAGCTCGGCGTTCTGACATCGTCGCAACCCTTCTGCAAAAAAGCAGACGAGCTTGCGCTCCGCATACTCTGTATCACACTAACTTGGAGCACAGCCGGCCGTACGATCCGACGGAGGAAGTCGGAACAGCTCCAATATATCGTAGTCAAGGCACTCGTCATCCTTTCTACATTTTCGATCACTGGATGAAGCAATCACATAAAGACAAGAGGCGCAGGATCACGGAGCAATCACCGTGCGCGATTGCTTTAGCCGGTGAAAACAAACGCGTAAAGACGAAAAGTACCGCAACGATGCGCCTTTGACGCTGTTTGATTTGCTTCGTGGGATTATAGCGTTCACTACGCTCGGATTCAGCGTGAAACGGAGCATAGTGGGGTTCTCAAACTCGCCACAAAAAAAGATTATTTTTTTTTTGTCGTTTGTGAAAATTATTTCTGACGCAGGAGCTATCATCGCCTAGAGCCCTCCATGCTGCTTTTTACGCTCTCGCCAATTGCGGAATCTCAAGCTTGAAGTTTATACTGCCGTTGTTTGCAATTAACACATTGGCGCTGATCTAGTCTTGTAACTGCGAAACTGCCTCCACCTAATCAAGGAGTCGGTCGCACCACTTCTTCTGACATCTACGCATCAAACGTGCTACAAGTCGCAAAGTGATCTCTAAGAAAAAGTACTACGTAAACTCTAACCAATTTCTTCAATGTGCCCGACATTTCGAAGCCAGCTCGGCTCCTTGTTCACGGATCTCTCTACTAAAGACCGCGATACTCGGCTCCTTGTTCAAAAGTCATCTCTCTACTAAAGACAGCGATAGGCGGCAACCGAACTGACGCTCTGTCGCTGCAACCGTTTCCGTACACATTCCGAGGTGAGTATTTGTCCTTTGTTGTCCGATGCACAAATAGGCGGAAATGGCTGAGCTGTACCCCGAGCTTAACAGCGCGCGCCGTCAAGGTTTGGAATGTACTGTAGAACCGGGAACAAATCGAATGCGAGTGGACTTGGATGCATGCTACCCTACAGAAAAGCCACTGGGAACCCGAAAATGCACGGCAGCACCTTCACACCTACTCATTATTTTTATGAGTCATGTCGTCCTTGGTTGCCCAGCATGTATCGAAAGCCATGCACTCCTCCGTTCGTCCTTCATTATGGCCTGACTGTATGTATTTACGTTACACTAAACAAGTTGTCGGTATGCTTAAATTATATATATATATATATATATATATATATATATATATATATATATATATATATATATATATATTCAGAGATTTTAACCGCTGTCTAAACATAAATTTGTACATTGTTTAACCATACATCACAACGAAACTGATGCTTCGAGTCGATGAAGCCACTCGAGCAGCCATAATGTGTAGACGATTTCGTGTTCTATCTATGCTCGTGTTAGCGTCGGGTATTCCATGTCTTTTCTTTGTGAATTCCATAACCGCTTACTATATTTTGATGAAGAGTAAAACGAAATATTCTGTATTATTGCTTTTCCACGAAATGCCAATCGACTAGCGAGAATGCCTGAATGTCCCTGCAACAAAGTCGCTGTTGACCAAGCAGGATTAATTGACGTGCAATTATTCTATTCGATATGCGGCGATGCTCACATTAAAGTTGTCATTAGGGCGAATAGAATGCATGATAATATGAAAGCGATCTTTGGAAAGTATGGAATCTAATTCAATTCTTTCATTTACAGCACTGAGTTTAAACAAAATCTCGCACACTTGTTGTTTACAACGTTCTGAGTTAAATTACTGCAAGCGAAATGTCATGGTTATAAAAGCACCGCAGTTAAAGTTTCCACTCACATAAAGAAAACATCCAAAATGCAGTCTCGATTTAACTGCAGTGCATAAAATACACTATCTATACTGAAGTATACCTAAATTATTGCAATCAAGTATTCCCTACATTCATGATTCGTTCATATCATGATAAAATAAACAAATAATCTGTCTTCATTGAAAAACTTTGGTTAATTTTAAACCGCATAATAAATTATAATTTAAAACATTTGAAGAAACATTGTGCATTTATGAACTAATATTTACTTGTTTGATCACTAAAAGCTGGTTTATCTT